CCGCGCGCGGCGCCACGTAGTTGCGGCACAGGCCGAAGAACTGCTGCGGCCGCAGGCTGCGCCGCGCGGCGTCGAACCGCCAGCCCACGTGCGCCATGCACGACGCGCACACGGCGATGGTCCACGTGTAGCCGGGGAACCACGAGTACTCGGCCGACGGCGCGCCCGTCAGCTCCGTGTTGGTCGCGCGCGACACCGTCACGATGTCGTGCATGTAGCCGCCTGCAACGAGCCGCGGCGTCAGGCGGGCGCGGGCGCCGCCGGGGCCGCCCGAGGCCGGCCGGTCGGTACGCACGGAGGTTGGTGTAGTTCCCGTGCAGGCCGTCGCTCGACATGGCGAACACGTGCTCGCGCCGCGCGATCTCCGTGGCGCACGCGCAGCAGCACAGCACGCTTTTCTGGAAGCAGCCGGACGGTCTCGCTCGGCTCCGACGGCCGAGCGCGGCCGGGCGTCGGAGGATACGGACCCGCGCGATGTCGCGCACCTCCATGTACAGGCGCAGCAGCGCGTTGTCGACGACGAAGAGCGCGAGGCGGTCGCGCGCCGACAGCGTCAGGTTGCGCGCCACCCAGAACGACAGCGACACCGGCTCCTCCGGCAGCTTGTCTGCGAAACGAGGCGACGGTCGGCCGGGCCCGGCCGGGGTCACGGGCGCCGGGCGCGCGCGCGGGCCTCACCGAAAGCGAGCGTCTTGAAGTAGTCCTGGATGATCTTGCGCATGCGGGCGTAGTCGAAGATGTCGTAGACGAAGAGCGGCCACGCCGTCACCGCCGCGTCCATGGCCCGCAGGCGCCGGTCCATCCTGCAACAGCGGCGGTGAGCGGCGCCCGGCGGCGGCCGCGGGCGGGGGCGACACTCACGGCGTGCGCGCGCGGCGCAGCGGGTCCAGGCTGGCCAGGCGCGCGCGCTGCAGCGGCGCCGCGCTCACCTCCTCCGGCAGCACCACCACGTCCGCCGGCCGCACCCTGCAACAGCGGCCGTCAGCGGGCGCGCGCGCGGAGGGCGCCCGCCGGGCTCACCTGGCGTACACGTGCATGGGCAGGCCGGCCTCGGGCATGTCCACGAAGCGGAAGCGGTGGTTGGCGCGCGCCTTGAACGTCAGCGAGGCGGGCTCCTCGTCGCCGGGCGCGCCGCCCGTCATGCCCGCCTCGAACACCTCGCACAGCACGCCGTAGCCCGACACCATCGCGCCGCTCTCGCTGCACGTGCCCGCGGGAAACTTTATTATTGCCGGTACGCGGCGCGTCCTCTAATATGGCACTGTTGCAATTAAATTGTATGCCTTTTCGGAAAATGTCATTAGCGTCGCCGTAGTTCACGAAATAGAAAAATGTGTCGAAGCCTGCCGACGCGAGTGCGCACGACGAAACACTATGACAACTTCCGATATCCACGTTGCTTTTCCTACTTTACACGCGTTATCATATGCGCGCTAAGCACAGGAGTGTGATCTGCGCGCACGATTACAGTGACGGATGTGTGTTGTGAATGCGTGACATTCTGAGGAATTATATCCATAGGCATCGACAGTAATGTGTAAATATATTAACAATAAATAAAAAAATATTTTAAATTCAGCTTAAACAAAAGTGCTCGATGAGTGAATATGCTAAAATAAATAGATGTTATCATACTCGGGGCAGAGCAGACCGAAGAGCTTGTCGTGGTTGATAGCCTGTGTTAGCATAGAGGCGTCGTGTGCATTGTTGAGCAGCATGGGGACAGTCTCGCCAGGAAACACTGCTCCATGATGTGCTAATACTGGTACGCGGCCCTCCCATCCCGCCTCCAGGACACTGCGTCCTGATACCGGTTGCAGGCTTCCTCCCATGTACTGCACACCACACATTCAGTAAAATAAATGACAAACTCAAGAACATTGAATGAAACCAAAATTGTACATACATCAACTGTTTTGTACTCTTCTAAGTTAACTACTATTCCTAATTCAGTTTACTTGTCAATGTAAAACATTTAAACATCTAAAATGTATTTCCAGATTACAACTGCCTCTTCCTCATTAATGTCATGTTAGAAAAATATTCAATACCTTACAGTCACACCACCACTGATATGCTTCTGTGTATTTTTTCTTATTTTGAAGCATCACTGGGTATGCATTCTGTTTCCATTTATACCTGCAGGTACTTCTTTAATCAATTAAACTGATAAAAACCCTTACCCAACAGTTTCACCCAATTTAATATACATTTTTATGTTTATTATGTGTACAATAAATTTTTCTCCATCAAGATTCTTTTCACCTTTAGTTTTACAAAATAACAATATAGGTGAATTAAATAAAAAAAAATTTTTGACATTGAGCATGCAACATGCATTTCATCATATTGAAAGAGTTGAAAATATGTAGGTACATAATAATTGTTAACAGTTCTTCAACATAATTCAAATCCAAACAACATCCATACAAAAGTTTTCCCAAAGTTAACCTTAATTAAGTTATTTGTATTCTACTGTTAAAGGGAATTAAAAGTTGTCTATATTGTGGGAAAGTTACCTTTGAAATTTGTGGTAGAAAAGCAGTATTAAGTACTAAACCACTCACGGAGTGTGACGCCGCCAGTGAGATATCAAAGTGCTCTTCCTCCTCGTCTGTGTCGGAGTTATCACGAGCGCCTCCATCGCCTTGGATATTGCCGGTGCCGTCCGCGCGTCTATCTCCAACCCCACCCCCCGCCACCCCATCGCCGTCAGGCCGCATAACTAACGTCATTGTTATATACAATTTACTACACAACTTACAAACAAATAAATTGACCATGTGCGACAACACGATATTTCTCTAAGCTATATTACAAATGTATGTATCGTCGTTACCAAAAATAGACTATTTCACACAAACACCCAATAGCATCGCAGGAATAAGCAAATCTTGATTGAACCTTGGTCAAAACTACATTCTGTACTTACCATCTTCTTCCATTATTCTCCGCAGTAATTCTCGTAGTAATGAAATTTTGGAGACTTTTTAAATTATTTACTCCAAATTTAAGCGATTGCTAAAGAATAATTTTATCTTAAAATATTTAAATAGCACGAAAGAACCAATCGTTTCTTTTTCGTTGTTTAGATTGATTTATAAATACTGTTTCATTTGACGGTTTCTATTTCACTCACTATCCGTATGTTATTTATAAAGTATATTTTGTCTATAAACAATTTACTTTCAATACATAATTTAACTTATGTGCTTTTTTATAATATGTGTATATTACATAAACATATTCAAACATTTCTATTTTGCAAGTTTGATTTTAACTTTAACAATTTTATGAATTTTAATAATCTTTGTGAATGCATTTCATAATGACATATTCAGTGCTGCCAGGGCCTTTGAGTCGAAAATTGTATTTAATTTTCGTTAGTCAGTTATTGACAGATTTCATGTCATTTTTATTCACAACACCCGAATCGAACGTCAAACTGTCGTATTCGGAACCGTATCGAAATGACGTCACACCTGTACGATTACTCGAACTTCTCGACCGGCAAAGTGTACAAACGTTATTCTGACACAGTTATCGAATGAAAGTTACCGAACGTCCTTGTGTTTACAAAGCAAGAACGTAATATGGAAATCTCATACCATATTTTAAATAAAGTCTGGATTTTGTTAAATTTTATTAATTTATTTTAATGCAAGACTAATGCATTCCTATATTTTAGGCCTTTAAAGTCTTAAAAATGTATTTAAAAGTATTTTCATTTTTCATATAATCTATTTCACCGTCCATCTCCGTAAACGCTGTTGGATAACGATATCGTATCCGAATCGAACGTTTAACTCGGAATGCTCTGAATAGTTCGGAACCGCCTTTCGATTCATGAACGATTCAGTTAAAATATCGAAGAGTTCTGAATCGGGATCCGGAAGCGATTGGGTGCGTTGCCTCTGGCAGACGAAGTAATCTAGGGCCTTACCATGAACTCTTATTACAGTTCAGTGTAGGTTTGTAACGTCAAAAAAGCGGGATGGTGATATAAACTTCATGTAGCGCTGTCTCACAACGATTCATTTTAGGTCCTAAACTGAATCGTAATAAGAGCTCCGGTAAGGCCCCTGTCTGAGGTCGACATACGGCGAGTTTTTTTACATGCGCCGTTACATTTTTGCTGCAAAATTTACATTATTTGCCAAGTTCGTTGTTGTAGTCATTCTAACTGCAAAAGATATATATTTACGCCTAAATCCTAAAAATAAAAAAAATACGCTCAAGGAAAATCAAACTAAAACCAGTATTTCATTGATATAATTTTGTTTGCGCCATCTCTGAGTTACTTTATTGTCAAATTTCAAATATTTTTGAAACAAAAGTTACTCATATTACTTATTATGCGAGAAGGTAAAAAATTACGAAAAATGTAAGAAACGTAACAATTTGGCAACACTACTACTGGACATATTGTCAGTTTTTAGTGTGACCTGCGTAGTGTTGGTTTTATTTTTGGTTTTCACGGCATTTAGGGTCGTATTCCAGAACTCTACTCTATGCTCAAGTCTGGATTTGAGTATGATTTCAAGCACTGGAAATACGTCCGTAATGGCAGGGACTTGAGTATTATTTCAAAATTTTCGCTTGGAATCATACTCAAGTTTGCTCAAATCCTGACTTAAGCATTGAGTAGAGTTCTGGAATACGACCCTAAGCGGGCTATCAAAGATACGAAGAGATGGATGGCAGGCTGTATTGCGTCATGCCAAAGCCGCTAAAAAGTCTACTTAAAAAAAAAAGATGATCATACTGACCCACACATTCACATGTAACAATCGCACAGTTTTTGTATCTGTGAACTTTCGTGGACGGATATCTTTCTAATTTGTGGACGGATTGCACGTCTAAATGATATTATATCTCATGAATTTTCAACTGCAATTTAATAAAATTATCGAATAGTTCGTGAGAAATGTGAACAAATTGTAAATCGATTAAGTAATTTATGTAAAAATGTGTCATAAAATTGTGTGGTATTACACGTTCATACTGACTTTATTTGATATAACGCTCAACAGTAAACTGACAGCGCAGGGAAAGAGCCATGGTAAAATCGATTTTATTTCGTTAGAATACTTAAATTTGTTTACCTAAATATGTACTTAGTTCACTCTTAGTCATTCTAGCGAAGGACATTCTAGCGAACAATACTATACTAAAGATTGGCGTAGTAGTAGAAAACGTACGATAAAAAATGCGGGGGGGTAACAGATTCACTGCTCTCGGTGTTATTTTAGATCGGGGCCGCAGTGGGCTTGTTTGTCGCTATCGTAGCATTAGAAATTAGAATGGTATTTTTGGTCGCGAGTGGTGACAGGCGATATGGTTCTCGTAGGCGGCATAGGGCAACCTCAGTGCAACAGCCGTCGGCACGTGCGATAGCCCCTCCCCGCACCAGTTTCCGCGCTCAAATGTTCAAGATGTACGTTTTCCCCTGTCTATAACTATTTTGTGCGCTAAGTGAAGGCTGTTCTCAGAATGGTCACACATAATGTAATAAACTGCAAAATTTTTCCTGTTTTCAGGTGTGAGTGTTCAAGACACTTTTGCAGAGGGAATCACTTTTCAGGTAATATACTAGAGTTAGGCTAGAGCGTATCAATGAAGTAAATGAGACCCTTATGAAGACTGGAATAACAAAAATCTGGATAGGTGACAAGGACCCCTTCCCTAACAGATACTGGTGTATCTGTGCTAACCATGTTTTGCCTTACCCCTTTGAGCTCTATTATAACTTACAACATGCAGCTGAAGAATAATTTAAAGCGAACAGCACTTTTTTTATACAATATCCACTGACGGGTCAAACTACTAGTGCGCCTGGTCTCAACCGATTTACCTGTCCTAGACGGTTGCAGTGCTACTCCTAGCTTGAAATTGCCAAGATCTGAGGAGCATTGCCACTGCACCCCTCACCCTGAGACATAAGCTGACAAGTCACATGTGCCTGTAAATCGATTAGCAAAACTTAAAATTAAAATACAAATGCCAGGTGTGTTTTTTGATTTAAGAACTATACATCAGGTTAAAGAACTAAGACTGTGCCAGTACTCAATGTGGTCTTGACATGGATCCCTGGCCACTATGGCATGAAAGGTAATAAATGTGCGGATCTCTCTGCAAAAGAAACTGTTATAATGGGTAGTAACATGTATGACCGATGTTTTCCTCATTCTAAAGCCCTTGCCCGCCCACAAATGCGTAATTCCCGGAATTCTCATTGGCAATTTTCCCACCAAACTGTAGGTAAACATTATGGTAAAATTCAACCGGATTTTTTTTTATTTTTTATTTTTTTTTTTTTATTGTGACTCGGCAAAATGACTGCACCGCGCCTGATGGAAAGTGCGAATACAGTCCAGAGATGAGAGTAACAGATGGAAAACACAAATATTTCGCACTGTTATTGAGTAGAGTCCAGACCCTAAGTCTTGGTTCTTCACTAGGAAATCGATTCCAAAAAATATCACCTATCAATTATTTGCTTTCGCTTAGCTCACATATGTGTTCCTGTGTTCTTGGCCAAGATTCGGGTTCGAGACCACTCCTTGTGCGAGTGCGGTCTGGCAGAGGGTACCTCAAGCACATATTTTTTGATTATAATCATATATCACTCCTCTGTATGATATCCTTCCCTCTAAAATCCACCGTCCCGTCTATATCAACTTCTTTTTTATGTTAGTCCACTCCTTTGTATATGTCCTGTGTAAGTATATTAAAAAAAAAATTACTGATATGGTATTATTATTATTATTAGGGTGGCTTTATTTGGGGCCTATGTATCGCCTCATCACTGTGACCATTGACTGATCTATTGTGATCACCACTAATTACAGCGCAGACCAAAGCCGACAGCATTGAAAAACTGAAGGACTTTCCTGGCTTCGACAGATTTAATGTCCTCTGGTTGTGGCATGTGCCTTCCCAGTACGGAACTTCGTACGCCCATCAAGGGGTAGCATTGGGTGAGTAGATGAACAGAAGATTCATCCTCCGTGTGGCAGAATCTACATTCTCTATTTTCTCTGCCCAATATTTGACATGTGCTTATTTAAGCCACAATGCCCTGTTAAGGCTCTAGTGAGCATTCTTATGCCATTCCTGTATAATGACAGAGCTTCTCTAATGTGTTTGGCACTGTAGGCTGATATCAGGGCTTTTGAATGCTCAAGACCCTTGTTCTGTAGCCACACTTCTTGAAAGAGGTGTGCACTCCCATTTAGCAGAGTGAGCTTTACCAGGCTGTAGCTATCCCTATGAAGGGTTCGGGTCCTATAAAGGTTTCCCTAGCATCAGCCTTTGCCAATTCATCTGCTGACTCCATTACCTTCGATGTCAGAGTGGCCTGGAACCCAGCACAGTACCACTGTATTACTTTCCCTAAGAGTGTTCAGTATATTTACATAGTTCTCTACAATCCTCGCTACAAATTAATTGTATAGCTTTATGATTAGTATAATAATTAAGGTTTTTTTTTTACCAATTGTATATTAGCTTCCCTTACATTTGTTTTTGTTTTTTTACTTATATTTAGATTAAGTTATGTTGAAATAAATTTATCTTTGTCTTTAATCCTCGATGTTTGGGTGACTGAGGCTAGTGCATGTAGAGCCGCTTGACTATCTGAGTTTATGTAAATATGCTTGTCAACATAGCCTCTCTTCAGGTTCAAATCCGCACAAGTAATTATGGCGTACACTTCGGCCTGAAAGACAGAGGTGTCGTCCCATGTTCAGCTTGTAGCTCAGCCTGGGTCTCACACCGCGTACACCACAGCCTACGTTGGGTCCCATCTTAGACCCATCGGTATACCATAGAAGGCTACCGTCCTTCCAGGTGAGACTGTTAGTTTCCCAGTCCTCCCTAGTTGGAAATTCTACCTGGTACAGTTTTAAAGTTTTGTTTGGGAAACATGACATCAGAAGTCATTCCCAGAACAGAGTGTTCCAGAATTGAGTCTTGGGCTGATCTCAATGTCTGGGAGAGCCATCTACTCCTTAACCTAGTGGTAAGCCTGTACATGCTAGTACTGGCCTCCCTCTGTAAGAATAAATGCAGAGGAGTCAGGTTCAGCAATGCATTTAGGGCTGCCCCAGGTGTGGTGGACATGGCTTCCGTTGCTAGCATGCACGCGATGCGCTGTAGACTGCCCAATGTGACAATTGTGGTTGTTTGACTGACTTTAGCACTCCAAGGAACAGAGGCGTAAGTCTCTATGGGCCTCACAATTGCCTTATATAACCAGAGAGTCATCTTTGGTTTTAGACCCCAACGCTGTCCCGCCATACGGCTACAGATACCTAAGGCCATCTTGGTCTTGTTGATCGTGTTAGCTATATGGTGGTTCCACCTTAGGGTTTGATATAGAGTTATCCCTAGATATTTGAATCCTGCGAAAAAGCCCACAGCCCTGCCACCAAGAATTGGTTCCACTAGTTTGTCTAGTTTCCGTCTCCTGATGAAGGGGACAATGGTTGTCTTTTCCGCATTGATTGATAATTCGTTATCTTGACACCACGCGGAAATGGTGTCAAGTGCTCCTTGCATAAGTGATGATATAGTACTTTGGCAGGGCCCTCGAACTGTGATCACCAGGTCATCCGCATATCCCTGAGCGTCAATATTCAGTTCAGCCAACTATACAAGAGCTGATCCACAGCAAGAGTCCACAGGAGAGGAGAAATTACCCCACCTTGCGGGCATCCCCTTACTGTGGAGGCCGCAAGCCGGTCTCCATGTAACGAGATACTGGCCCTGCGGCTTAAAAGCATGTTCTGTACCCATCTCGTGGTTGAAGTGTTCACACCTTTGCAGGTTAGGCCTTCACCAGAGTATGGATGGGTGTATTGTCAAATGCACCCTCAATGTCTAGAAAGGTAACTAAAGCTAAACTAAAGGAAAGCTATTTGTTTGTCCTCAAACGCTCTTTCAACCCTGTCCACAATGTGGAGCAAAGCTGTCTCTGTGGACTTTCCACTCTGATAGGCGTGTTGAGTGTGATGGATAGGACTATATATTAAGGACGAAGCCCTAATGTGATTGTCAAGTACCTTCTCCATTGCCTTAAGCAAAAATGAGGTTAGGCAGATGGGTCTAAAGGATTTAGCAAGAGAAGTAGTCCGTCCTGCCTACCTTCAGTATAAATACACTTTACACGTAGTCCATTGCATCGGTATGTGTCCCCAAGCAAGACTGACTCTGTATATCTTGACTAGGTAAGGCAAGAGTACACTTATGCCTTGCCATAGTAAGATGGGAGTAATACTGTCCTCACCAGGGGATTTATACGATTTAAACGAGCTTATGGCCCAAGCCACTTGGCGGGGTCTTATTATGTTGGCCGCTCTGTTCCAGTCTTCGTTGCGTGGTGAATGTAGCGTCGTTGCTGGATTAGTGGGCGTGTCGCACAAGGCCCCCGGGAAGTGGGTTGACATTAAAAGCTCAAGGGCTTCTATCGTAGAAGTCGAGAAGGTCCCATCAGGCTTCTTTAACAGTCCTGGTTGACGGGAATTGGCTTTAGCGAGCAGTCTATGTAGACGTGCACCTTGAAGAGCACTAGCGATCTCCTCACAGAACCGCCTCCACGATGCTCGCTTGGCCTTCCTTATCTCCTTGTTATAGTTAGTTAGGGCCTTCCTGTAGGTCTCCCATTCCTTTGTTAGTTTGGCCCTGTTGAAGACCTTCGAGTTTTCTCTCTTAGCTTTCTCAGTTTTGCATTCCACCACGGAACCTTCCCATTGGAGGTCCGAATTTTTGGCGGCAGGTTTCCTCAAAAGCGCTGATGATGCCCCAGGAACTGACCTCAACAGCTAACTCTGAGTGGTTTTGATCCATTTAGGACACCCTTGTAGATACTGCCCTAGTCTGTCTCTATAGACGTCCCAGGCCGTGTTCCTTGGATTCCTAAATGCAGTGGGGTGGCAGACATTTCCTGCTCCCAGATCAAATTTTATGTGTTTATGATCCGACATCGACGTCTGGTCACTAACATGCCAGCCGGTTATAAGTCCAGCTAGCCTAGCCGTAGAGAAAGTAATGTCCAGAATTTCTTGTCTTGACCTAGTAACAAAAGTTGGTGTACATCCTTCGTTATTAAGATACAGGCAATTTGATAGGATAAAGTAATATAGTAAACTCACCTCTGTTATTAATGTCTGAGCTCTCCCAGGCGATGTGGTGAGCGTTGGCATCACATCCCACCAGAAGTTCTGCTTTGTGTCCCCGGGCGTATTTCGCCAGTCGTGTCAGATCTTCCGTGGGATTGTTCTTTTCTCCAGGTAGATAGGCTGAGCATACGATTATCTTGGCCTGAGTGCTACTCCGGGGAAAGAGATATGCCGCTACAAAGTCATCAGTACAGAATTCTGGAACAGGCATAAGATTAATGTTTTTGTTATAAACAATGCGGGCTCTGGGTCTAATTCCACAGGTGTTGTAAATCAACTTACCAGCGGCATTGAGTCCCATTATGTTTGTGTGGTTAACCCAGGGTTCCTGAATGAGGGCGACACCCACGTTGCCTTTCGCGAAGCAACACTCCACCATAGTCGTTGCAGCCACGGCATGGTG